TCGTATTGGGTGTGTGTAAACGGACGGACTGAGATCTGAAGAGAGAAACAAAAGGTTTGGTAAGCAGGCGTTGCCCTTCTCCCCAACCAGTTCTGAAAAAAAGTACATGGCTGGTGTGCACAAGAATAGTAAGCTCCGGATTTTGTTGGAGCATTTAGTTTATGTCCCACGAGCAAGGAAGGCATTAACTCCTAAAAATTGCTTGATAATTCGAAGACAGAATAGAAGAATTTGCTGTCGTTAAATGGCTTTGGGGGATGCGTGTGACTTGGGGTAGTGTGGCAGTTTTCCGAGTGACTTAGAGGCCGGGAAAACGTGTTACAATCGGAATTCCTTCGAGACAAATGCAGAGGTGCAACTGGAAACGCCATTCTGTGAGTTTTATTCGCGTGCGTTCTATGCTACGGCATCACAGTGCGGTGGCACAAGCTAACAGCGCTACTGAAAGTGAGGTCAGCAAAATCGACACCAATATCGGTTGATAAAAGCACCGATGTAATTCCTCTTATGACTAACAGTAGTGCAGACGGAATAACAGTAGCAGTGTGGGGACCGGAGTGTCTGTTAAGTCGAGTCATTCAGTGACCGATTCCTCTACCTGAACTCTGGCTGATAGTTTGGTTGCGTAGTCTGGTATGGTAATGGGTAGCGAACGGTGAAATATCCCTTCGATGTTCCAGGCCAGTATGAAACAGATAGATAGTTGTGGATGAATTGACAATAACCGAGAGCATCACAGCTCGGCAAGGGCTGTTCCACACCCTGGTGTAAGGCGATCTGATTCGAAAAACCACTGAAACAGCTCAAGATTTGCCTGCGCGTGAGATACATGGCACAGCCAGACTTACTGATTTTATCTCTGTGGCATCACTCGTACAACGAGTCGAGCCAGGTTTTTAATTAACACCCACTTTGACGCCTCTAAGTGGCTAACAGTGCCGGATCGAGTGCAGCAACACTGAGTTCGTGAGGTGGACGAAAAATAGAGTGTCCAAACTGCCTCAATCATCTTTCTTGGATAACCTGGGATGTCCTTGTGATTTTGCCGCAGCCAGTGCGTACTGTCCAAAGTGGGACGGAGTCGGTGTACTTCACTCGAAGGACGGTCCTCAAGGAATGGTGATCAAATACCTCGCTCAAGTTATACGCACACAGCCCTATATTCACAATAATGGAGAAGGACTGGCCAGATGGATGTATGGTAAACGCGGTATGCTCATAACGACGTAAATTAAACGCCACAATAGAATCAGAAGAAACAGCCTTCGTTTGTTTCTCACCGTCACAAAGCCTTAGCTGTAGTGCGACGCAAATGTTAAGCCAGAAGATCTACCCCTTTTCGGTGACGGGCTCAAGTATGGCCAATCCCCAAATGACAAATATGATTTTGTCTTGTCATGCTTGCTCAAGTACGTTCTGGAAGAAATGCGCTCACGCAAGATTGGTTAACACTACAATCTCTAGACGGTCTGTCTTCGAGCGACCTCCCATGTTGGTGACTTTTTCTAGGGAATGCGAAGAGGGATACGCCATTCAGTAGGTCGCCTGAAGAGGAACATCTTTTTTATGTTAGCCAGAACGGTACTCCGGAGTGCGCCGCAACATATTCTTATTGGTACATACGCTAAACTCGAATCAGTCCTTACAATACGCTGATCACTAGCAAAGCGTATTGTAAGGGTGATCTAGCTCGAGACGCCTGAGAAGTAAATTGCAGGGCGTTCATAGATTGCTGCAATATATATGACAGCAACCTCGTGAAATGCGACTTTCGACTTTCAAAAAAACTCTTTTGTCTGTTGTGTTGTTTGACTCTGAGTGCACCAAAAGACTGGCCTTTAGCATGCAATGGATCGACTTTGCTGCTCAACGGTCATTTTATGGCAAAAGGATAGGGGTTAACGCGTGCGTTGCTAGGACCAAAAATATTACGGATGAGATTGCTCAATCGGGTGATTGTTTAACTGACGTCACAGAGACTAAGTTCTCCTGGCTTGTGTCATTTATTATTCCTATACGCCAATGGACTTCAAATGGATAAAGTGCGCCACTAGCAGTACCTTAAATTTTCCTTGCAAGAAAAAAAATTGCGCGGCTTTTTGTCATGTATTTACGGATCACCAGAG